GAAGCAACATTTCATATAGCTATCAATATCTCTTTGTAAAACTTTATAGTAGACACACAAGTTTGTTAAAAACAATTTGTGATAAAATACCAAAAAAATTATACATATAAAATATGCCATAAATCAATACTTTAGGCCAATATTTTGTTACCTACTTAATAAATTATTATTCAGCCTAATATTTATAAGGTTCGACATACTTGTTAAATTAAACACCACCGAGCATCGCGTATGCATGGTTCCTTATTAACTACATTAAGGTTTTGTGCATCGTCTAACACTACTTATGCTGCCACTAAATTATTAAACACGTTTAGCTTGATCCTCGATGGAAAATCTTATTAGAGCTACTTATTATTAAATCACGCTTCTGTTACATCGTGTACAGGATGAATCCCAATGAGCTTTATATGTTATTAGGTGTATAAAGTAAGCACAAAATCTTGTAATATGTTACCTTAAATCATGTTTTGTCCTCCACTGATTAGTTTACATTCATTTTTGAGTAATTCATAAAGCCTAGAAAGATTTTAGGAACTCGTTTCCTGAAAGTTTATAGCGGCGTAACTGATAGACACATTATTATACACAAATTATTTTTAATACCTACTTAATCTCACCTATACCCTGTATATTGTAGTTAAAACATCAAAAATAGCGGAATAATTCGTCGTTCGTCCCAATAAGTCCGAGATGGTAAATAGCAATGCTTATTAAGCAACGGATGGTCTAAATACTTCTGTTTTTGAGGAAATTAACCATAAATAAAAGTCGACCCTGTGCATCTTGTGCACGTGTGTGTTGCACGTATTACTCACGACATTGGCCGAGAAGTGGGTGTATCTAACAGTGCCCTGTGCCGTGTAGTAAAAGTTACTTATTTCCTTTTCAAGGAACGTACTTAAGTCAGAAACACCCTGTATATTGCGAATGTAATTCAATGCTGGTGGGGGTAAAGTACATGCTTTTAGTATCCAACATCATAATTCTGAAAACATAAATATTTAATTATTATATTACCACCCTTCATAAAAAATGGCATACTCAATCATTCGTTTCCTGAAATTTTGCTGAAAATAACTAGAAAATATTTTCGAATTCACAATCGAAAAAAAATGTCGAATGGTCCGATTTTCAATAACAATGGAATTGGGTACCTTACGATTTAATTATAATATATACATAAGCTTAAAGAGAAAACAAGAAACTGTTTAATATTTTGCTCTTTATCTTTTTCAGTTTCATCACCTAAATTTGTAATAAATACTAAACCTCTATAGGCTCATAAAAGGTGACATTTAGAACGGTTCCCTTGGCAATTGTGATTACCTTAAGTTTGCCGTTTAAAGTTCCAAGACTCCCTAAACATCGTCATAAAGGCTATCGAAAAGCTGTTATGGAATCGTATACAATTTAGATAACTGTTGCTACGAGTATAAATTTGCGATGATTTTCCATTGCGACATCCAGAAAGTTATGTTATCAGTTGCAAATGATGATTTTATATTTCAAGATTTCTCTTTCTACATATCCTATAATGAATGTCTCAAAATTAGCCTGATGTATTTTGCAAGCGCAATGTACGTTTAAAAAATAATATAAAGGGTTTATATGTCGGAGTCGTAGAGCTAACTTGGGCGTTAATATCACTACTCGTATCACTCATCTTCACGAAATAATAAGTAATACCGTAAATGAATGATTTAAAATAAATCATTACAAATAAAGTACACGATGTGTCTTATGACAACAACCAGAGGCCCGATAACGAATCCACGGCCAACAGAATAGCAGTGTACTCGCGTCTTCAATGCTCAAGTACAACTGCCTTCAGTACATCTCTCTGTACTTCTCTTCACTCGTCAGGTCAAAATTATTCTTAAATGAACCAACTAAATTTGTTATCTCCTATAGGGATTCCTTATAAGGTAAATGATATCTATCATTTGACCGCGGCTACGTTGAGTAACCCGTAAGTCCCTCCAAACCCAAGCTTGCCATCATAAAACTCGGGGAAACATAACCGGCTTAATTCATAAATAACTATTTCTAAGGCTTATGGTCTAGGTACAATTTATAAAAGGGTATTCCCTGAATAAAGAATTCTAGAATTTCCAAAGTCTGAAGGACTCAGCTCCGACAATATAAATCATACAGAGAAATGCTTTTTAAAAACTGCAGTTTAAAAAAGAATGATCGTTTCTGATCAGTATTTGCAAATTATGTGTGCTAGTGTGAGCAGTTACTACCACAGAATTTCCCGAAGACAGAAATTACATAACATCCGTAGAGCTTTAATAACATCAATCGCAATGCGTTGGCTCCCATATACAAGATTTGTTTTACTAATTAACATTCATCAAAGTTCAAATTCACCCTAGCACTTTCCCAATTAGTCGAAAACATGTTTAACAGCTGTCTTTTACAAACTGCCAACAGAGCTTTGTTCGATTCAATAATTAACTGGATCTCAGTGTCAGCCAAATTAACGCGTGGTAGAGGCCCATACAGGGCTCGTTACGAGGACTGAACAAGGCTGACCTGCTTGTTAATACGTTATTTAGAGATTATATGTAAATAAAACAGATGCAGATTTTATATTTTCAAATTTCACTGAACTTCTAAATTTTTACCTATGTTCACGACACAGAAATGTCGCACATAAATCTAGAATGACAGCCAGACTCCACAATTGGGAAGTCAATAGCTAGACGTCAAAATCCAACCGAACATCAGTCCCCGAGAATTCGCGGAACCACCCCGATGTGTGATTGAACGTCGACTCTAGTGTCTCGCACACTACTCGAAATCAAGCATGTTTGTTGCCATTCAATACCTTGAAGCCGTCTTTGCTTATTTTGAGGGAAATAAGTCCCAAAGCTATACTGAGGGTTTTAAAGAACAGATACAAAGAACCTGAAAAACCAAAAGCAGTTTTTTCCGGATTCATTGATTGAATTCCAGTTAGAAGTAAATAGATATACTGTGTAGCACCCATTTACTTGTTTTATATACCGATATATTGTAAAAATTTACAAAAATAAATTGTTTTACAATTCACAATAGCATTAAAAAAATTATTGCCAGCGCATTTCTTATACGTAAGACTGAAAATAAGAAACTTTTAAACAGTTTATTTTTATGTTGTAATTAATATTTTGTTATTTTTGTATTTAAGCACTTCTGTCACGCTGAAAAGAAGTTTCTTCATTAGAAAATACAGATCCAATTTGTTTAGCTTTTTTACATTATTCTTATGCAAAGTTTATTTACTTACAAATATTTTAAAACGTGTTAGTAACTAATTTTTTAAATGTTTTACTTAAAAATTTGCTTTTCACTTGTCGATAAAATATTATTTCGTCGCCTAATACAATAAATATTCAGTTTTATGACTCTCATAAATCTAGAATAACAGCCAGATTCCACAATTGGGAAGTCAATGGCCATCAATTGCGCGAATTTGGAAAGGCTAGACGTCAAAATCCAACCGAACAACAGACCCCGAGAATTCGCGAAACCACCCCGATGTGTGATTGAACGTCGACTCTAGTGTCTCGCACACTACTCGAAATCAAGCATGCTTGTTGCCATTCAATACCTTGAAGCCGTATTTGCTTATTTTGAGGGAAATAAGTCCCAAAGCTATACGGAGGGTTTTAAAAAACAGATAAAAAAAACCTGAAAAACCAAAAGCAGTTTTTCCGGATTCATTGATCGAATTTCAATTTGAAGTAAATAGTTACACTGTATAGCACCCATTTACTTGTTATATCGACATATTGTAAGAATTTACAAAAATAAATTGTTTCGCAATTCAGAACATCGTAAAAAATGTATTGCGATCGCACTTCTTATACTAAGACTGAGAATAATATACTTGTAAATAGTTTATTTTTATGTTGTAACAAATATTTTGTTATTTTTTTTTTATTTAAGCAGTTCTGTCACGCTGAAAAGAAATTTCTTCATTACAAAATATAGATCCAAATGTTTTAATTTTTTAAAACATTCCTATGCAAAGTTTATTTACGTACAAAGATTTTAAAACGTGTTAATAATTGATTTTCTAAATGTTTTTCTTTAAATTTGCTTTCTCTTGTCTATAAAATATTATTTCGTCGCCTAATACAATAAATATCGATCAATTCAGTTTTATGCCCTTCCATTTTTTCCCGACTGAACGCATACATCGATACTGCACACGAGAACGACATATAAATAGAACTTCGCACGCCCGATTACTAAAACCAACCCTCGCTGTTGCAGTATGCATAACATCAATGGAGATCACCGCACAGACTGATATGTTTAATATTGCACCGTATATGGCACTTAAATAAACCCCGATTTACATGTTGTTGTTGCATAAACAGCTTATTGTGTCGAACGCTATACACACGATAATGCACCTCTTGACATAATCGATATATAACGGTAGAGGAACAGTAATTACCGATAATTAAAATGAAAATGAAATTCTCAGAAGTAGGAGGCACGCTCTTTGAGAGTACCTGACTCAAGCGTATCTTATGACAAACTTCGGCTAAAATATTTAGCTCCAATTAGCTTTGTGATGACATGGTAACATATTCTCGGAGGGACCCGTATCCAAAAGGCTAACAATGTTCTTCGCTTTTAATTAAGTGATATAGACCCCAACCAGGTGGAACCAGGTCTTTGTCACTCTCCTTACCATTCGCGCATCTATGAATCATATTTTGATAAAATACATATAATAATTCACGGAAGATTTATATCTCAGATTCAAACTTATTTGTCTGGAACTATAAAGAACTATCTTTTTCAGAATTTCACCCGACATTAGATCTAGGCCTTGCTACCACTGGCAACAATGCCTTTGGACAATTCTTGGCTGTCGGAGTAATAACAATATCATTAGAAACAAATCCAACGAAATTTGTTTTCCTTCAGGTGTAAGCTTAGATCCGAATGTATAAAAATAAATACAGTTTATTCCATTTTTTTGTAAGACTTACCAGATAGAAAGGCGGCGTGAATTTCTGTTTCTTCGGCAGAAGATGAAGTTGTGTCAAGGCCGTTCAAACTGCACCGACTAAGAAAAAGCAAACTCAGCAGGCTTAGGGAACAGATGAGTAACAAAAGACGGGTGAAAAGTCGCGTCCCCAAAAGCCGTATCATAGCGGCCCTGGTTCTTCTTTTCCTGCAAAAAAAAGAAAAACATAAATATAGATTTTTAAAAACTAATCATGTTGTCATGATTAAAACTAGTCATGTAATGTTTTATTGTGATTGCTGGATTGTAGGAACATGAAATTAGTAAAATAATTATTTTTAAAGGTTCCATGGATCCATGGGTCACAATAAAATCAGTGTCTTTCATAAATAAATATTAAGCTTGCGTTAATACATAAAAACTAATAAATTGAAAGTAAACACGCAACATTGGAATTAGTTTTGCATGTCAGTCTGGTTTTGGAACACAACACGACCTGCTACAGTATGATTACACATGACATACGATCTTGTGAGGGCTACTGATGAGAGAAAGGTAACTTGTCTTGCTAGATTACGGTAATGCGTTTGACACCTTGGATCGCAACATTCTTATCAGTAAGTTAAAATTTTATGGCTGTGGCGATTCGTCCGCGTCTTTAATCAATAGTTTCTTGCCTGATCGTCACCAAAAAGTAATTGTTGACTAAAGGAAGCTTCACACCTTACCTGTAAATTTCGTTGTACCTCAAGGTTCAATTCCCAGCCCTTTATTGTTTTCCATATACAGGGTGTTATTGAACTTATGTCAAATATCTTTACCACATGTCCGTTATGTCAAAATAAACGATGGCTCATTTTAAAGAACTATTAATAACATTTATTTTTATAATATAGCAATGAAAATATTATTTCCCTGCGCAACGATAGACGACGCTAATGAGAAAAGTTTTGAAATTGTCTCCAAGATTGGTATAGATTTACAATTTAATTTTGGCTTGGATTATGTCAATGTTATTTAGAGAATTAAATAAAGGAGGATGTTGTAGCACAACCTCCCTATTTTAGCAATAACTTGAAAACGAAAAAAGATATCGACCTCCGGTTTGTGTATTTGTTTTCCATAATGAATGGTCTATCAAGCCATGAAAAAAACCTATATCGTTGCATTTAATTTTTTCTAACTGTTTTTTTTATCGTTGTCACACTTTACCACACAAATGACGCAAAATTCAAAATTTGCGTGAATTTTGAGACCTACAGTACTTTGTTAGAATAAACGGCGTTTCAGTTCCTAATCTGAACACTAAATAACGTCATACGAACAAGCACAGCGTTCAGGAAACGTACCAAATCCAGAAACGTAATCTCCAGCGGCCAGCTAACACTCCAATTAATAATTATTAGCGGGCCCGTTTTATTTGGAATATTAAATGGCAAAGGGCACGTTGCAGAGCGCAATTATTGTATGCGAAATTGAGTTATGAATGTTTAATACACCTGCCCTGGCTGGCCCATGCAATATTAAATCGAATTATGCCCGGTATGGTTTAGGAGATGTCAATTAACGGATCGAATATTGCAGGCGCAGCGTTCAAATATTGCATGCCCGGTGCAGCTTTTGTAGGCCGCGACGAAAATAAAATTCGTGAACGATGTCCTGGCTGGCGAATAATGCATAGCTACGTTGCAGTAATTAACTGTTAAGGACACCTGAAGGTCGGATTATAAAATTACGCTTTTGTTACTTTGATAGAGCGTCAAAGTGCGCCTATCGATTGGAGTAATTAGGTCGATGGTGAGGTACTGGAACTAAATCGAAATACTCAACAAAAGTACAGGGTGGACCAAAGATTCACGCTACAAAATAAAGTCTATTTACGATAAGCTTGCGTTGACATCGCATTTAGTAATTGTGGAGCGACAGAATAATCCCAAATTCTACAATTTTATTAATTTCGTTTCATTTATTTTATCCACACTATATAACGTCACTTTTAATATAACACCTATATTTACTCCATAATTACTCCAAATTATTCCACACTAACCTTTGTGAACGACCCGTATTATGGAACCCGCGACACCCATCCAATTTATCGTGGAAGAATTCTGCAAATTTTCAAACTGGTATGTAAATGTGGTTTCTTTCCATTTAATTAACCATTTTGTATTTGCCTTGCTTTAATTTAGGTCCCACTTTGGCCTCCATTTTGGTCAAGGGCACGTGACAATTAAAGATCCACGAGGTGGCTTGGCTTGCTTATCTCTTCGTTTAGTGAAGTTTGAGAACACGTTCTGTTGTTTTTTTATATTTTCAGATTATTTGATCGGGACATCGCCTGATTTTGATGATTGCACAAAGGGTTATTGAACTTTCCGATTTCTTCGCAGACTGGCAGAGTTTTCGCTGGGCCTCTGGCAAATTACATAGTCTGGATCGGAAATGGTTGGCTCACGATTCCAAGGAATTGATTGAGGTAAATTTCTTTTATTGTTCTTGTCTAATAAAGGCAGCTTACTTCATCAGTCCTTGTGACCACCAAATTTAACCTTTTTTGTGGTCTTATAAATGTAAAACTGCTCTAAACGTATGTTATCTTATTTTTCTGTTTTTTTTTATTAGGTTTTATTTTAATTCAAGCCGTAGCAAAATTTTATCTTATATCTTTTACCTTAATGTCTTTTTATTATACCACATTTTCATACACACCATTTTGAAAAGGTCAGATAAACTACTGATTCCTATTTTACTATTACACAGCGTGTTTTTATTTTAATTTTGCTTGAAATTACTACTATACTATACGATCTGGTTGTTTTCGATTATCTTTTTTATTTATTTAGTAAATTATTGTTAACCATTTTGATATGTACTTAAATTTAATCTTTTAAATAGTTGAAAGATTTTGAATCAGATTCTCAAATTTTGTAAATTTTTTTGACCAGTTTAAATTTAATTAAATTCTCACCATCCTTTAGATTTCATCGTACAGTAGGTATAATAATATTAAATTAATTAACTTTAACATTAATTGTAAATATTAAATTTAAGGAATTTTATATATTACATTTTATTTCATAATCACCGACAACCAGACTGTGTATTATCGAACATTCGTTTATTGTAAATATCCTACTTGCTTATAATTTTTTTTCTCTGATTTCCAAAATTGCAGCACATCAACATACCACGGATCTTCTGACCGAGACAACATTCTATTGGATCCAGGGCTTCTAACCATTACCATCTTTGGGAGGAAGTTGTCATGGAGTATGTCACCCGATGACCACCTGGCCATCTCCATCTGACAAATGACTATAGCGTCAACACCCCCTTAGATACCGGAGGACAAACTAACCAGAGTAACCATATAGCCCGGAAGTGATCATCACACCATTATTGTTGCTTTTTTACACCTTATAGTCAAGTAGAGATATCTAGTCAAAATTCAGTATGTTGTGTCGTCTGTTGTCGGGCATTTTAAATTAAACCTGATTGTAATTTGATAAAAATTGATATTATCTTTTGTAAAATTTAACAATTCACTAACCTTACGTTGTATTAAATCTATTTTAAGAATATTTTGTTTAAATCTTGTTCCTTATAGTATAAGAGCATATCTACACATTAAGAATTTTATACTACACCCCACGACCTTGTGATCCCATTGCACCTGATTGTAGCTTAGCTGGGTGCATCTTTTTTAGTGTACTTGGGTTTTTGTAACCAGTTATCCCAAGGAGTTATTAGTCCATGTGGACAAATAATAAATAACGTTACAAATTCTAATGCTTCCATACGTTTCGCCGTACTTCACTGTCAATATCTTCAGTGGTGATTTTGCAAATACAGCGTGTTAATGAACATATGTCACAAATTTAAAGGTGTGAAAAAGGAGCAAAAACTGCGTTAACTAATGTCACAAACTTGTATCGAAAGTTTAAGGTCATAGAGAAAAAAGTTAGTTAAGAATGTGTTTAAAACTGTTTTGGAACTGCTGAAATACATGCATTTTATCGCGGCGAGTATTTACTAAAAATTCTGCAACACTTTTTACGAGTTTGTAAGTTTCTTATGAAGCCGAACTGTATTTGAAAGTCAGTTTGTAATAATACATTGTTGTAGTGATTGCTGTGCTGTTTTTCGAGAGTACATTTGATGTTTCAATCGAAATTGTGTACGTAACGTCCACAACACTCACCATTGGATTATCGAAAATCCACACGAAATACGTCGCGGTGCGTTTCAGCAACAGTTTTCAGTGAACCGGTATCGTTAATGACACTTTAATAGGACCTTTTGAATTGCCTAGACGCTTAAACGGTGCTTCATATCTAGATTTTTTGAAAAATCGCTTGTCGGAGTTATTGACGTGCCATTAAATGTACGGTAAAATGTGTGGTTACTGGGTTACATGGGTTCAATGTGAAGCTACACCAGCGACATGTAACTTTTGACCTACATGGGATAGAAAGGTGGTTCTTGGTCAAGAATTTATTACAAATAAATTAGATGTGACCCCTTATGAGAAACAAAGTCAACAAGCCAGTCTTAAGGGAGAAAACCACACAAAACAAAAAGTATTTTTTATCTCTCTAATGAGAATTTCAAAGCAGAACACTTTAATTTCATGACTGTACTGTACAACCCTCCATTTTATCTAGTACCATCTCGTAAAATACAGCTGCATTTAGCGGAGACAAACAGAAGCGTCACTGCTAAACCGGCACGTCATTCGCGTCAGAATTTAATGCATCACTAATTTAGAGTAACTGTGCTGTATTTTACGGCATTTGCCCACGTATCCATCTTCCCTAACTTTCTCGGAACCTAATTGCGTGGAAAAATGTTTAAAGTAGACGCGGCAGCGGGATTTTACGGTAGTTATCAATTCGAAATGTCCTAGATTTAGAGTATGATTAAATAGATTAATGGTCTCGGTATAGCTATTTGATTACGGGCGCTATGGAACGGGAATCAATATTCTGGATTTGGAGAAAAGGGGATGTTGTGGTGTATTAAAAAACTTTTAAGCGTTCGGGAAGATTTAAGAAGTTTTAGGTGGCTGGAGATATCACCAGTCTAGAATTAAAAGAAGAAGGATAGACGAAATTATGGGGCAGATACATTTTATTCAATTATTTCAGAAAGGAGCACTTTGCCAGTTCCTTTTTATTATTACCTACATTTTTCATACATTTTAT